GGTTGAACAGAGTCAAGGCCCTTCACGGTGGGTTCCAAGCTTCTTTTGCCATTCTCGAGGCGCAGGTCAGGAAGGAGGGATTTAAGGAGCTTCGTGACTGGATTCTGTACAGGAGTGACAGAGTAGCTCGGAGTGACTAAGGGCGCCACGAAATGAAGACCCACGACCACGCTGTCTACTGATAAAGAGGTGGTGCGTCATCCCTTGTCGCTCCTGCAGGCTGGGAGTCGTACGTTTGCCGCCATTTGGGGAGGCGGTCGTGCGCAAGATTGGTTCGAGCATGACCTGCTGCGACGAGCTCCCGCTTGTGCCTATTGAGGCTGTGTGTTCTCTTTCCAAAGGGTTCAATGAGAATACGTCGGTGGTCACGGACGGGTTTCGCATGGGACACGTTCACATGATGGGCGATCGCGTCTTGGAGGGTCTTGTCAGGCCTCTCGCTGCCATGGAGATGTCCTCTTCGCTCTCTGGTCAAGTCGCTATCGCGTTGCTCACCTTGATTCCTAAGGCGACCTCTGGGTTCAGACCCATTGGGACGTTTTTGAAGGAGCCCCAGGACACACAAATAACTACACACAAATAACATGGTTCCCCAGAGTTTCCCCTCTTTTCTGGGCTTCTTCCCCCCCACTTCCCATAGTTTCCCATATCTTCTTGAAACTCGACGATTGATTGTGTCTAGGTGTTTCCTTCCCTCCTGAGTTCTGCGCGTTACATCGTGCCTGCGGTCGTGCCCGCCGCCCACCGTGCCAGCGGCGGGAGCGATTCCCACCCTCGGGAGGTGCTCTGCGGCTGGGCCTGCGAGGGGGGGCCAGGATGCTGCGTGGCGGCCGTCGCTCCACGCCGAGCCCAGCGTGAAGGATGAAGGTCAGGTTGATGGGCACATTTTCCACCACCACTACCATATGCAGGACGGGGGAGAAGGGAGGATGAGGAGGTCATCCTCCTCCTTCTCCTCCTCCTCCTCCTTCTTCATCTCCTACCTATGGTAGTGGTGGTGGAACACAGGCCCATCACAGGTTGCGACAGTACAGTCGGGGCGTTGACCTGAGGAACGCTAAATAAGGAGCGAGGCCCCCTTTTCCATAAGTTGACCTTCGACTTCTGAATCCAAAAAAGAAAACCTGAGGCAAGCTGTGAAACACTTGAGGAACACGGAGCCCCTCCCCAACAAAAAGGGTTCTTTCTTCAGGGCCCCGACTGTACTCTTCGATTTCTACAAATACTATGAGACGATTGATCTCCGCAAGTTCTTGCGTCGGTGCAGGGTTTTTAGCTTCCGCTGGCTCTTGCGAGAGCTGCGGTGCGCATGTACCTTCAGAGCAGATGGTTCAGGCTTTCGGGTTTCACTTACGGGCCCTTGTGGGCTTCCAACGGTATTGTGGCTGGTTGTAGGTTCGCGACGATCCTGATCCACGCGCACTCCGTTGGGGCCCTGGACCATCTGAGTCTGCCGCACCAGGTGTATGTCAAGTACATTGACGGGTATGGCCTCTCTGCGACGGGGTCGTCCGCATGCATTCTCACTCATCTGCGGAGGCCTTGCGCAGGGTCCTGTCGGAGGAGGTGGGTGCGATTATCTCAGATGGCCCTGGAAAGAGGTCGATCTTTTGTTCCTCGAGGACGTTGGGCAATGAGCTCGGCGCTCGCCTCGGGGGCTTAGCTGGCCCCCTCGTGCCGAGCGTGGCCAACTTAGGTCAGGGCGACGCCGCGGGCAAGGCACGTCGACGCCAAGGGAGATCTGGCAAGGCCAAAAGTATGGAGAAAAATACAGGAGTTGTCGTGCCAGGTTGGCGCGTTTGAGACCCACGGCCGGGGGCCGCGTGGCCCGGCGTGCGTTTGCCGCGGGGCCCATGGCCAGCAACGTTTTCGGGGCCGGCATTCACGGGGTTACGGATTTCGAGCTGTGCTGCAATTTCGTCGCCAGGCGGCCTCTGCGCTGCAACCCTCGGCCACTGGAAGGTCCCTCACCTGTCCTTCGTTGGCCCACCAGGAGCCGCGCTGGTTCGCCGCGGTAGCGCCGACCATCCGTTGGGCCAAGAGGTTTTGGATCTCCCACCATTCTCTGTACTCGTTTTCTGTCCCCTTGACCGAGCTCAGAGAAGCTTGGGATGTTGGTTTCCGCGGGAAGTCGGGGCTTTGGAAAAATGTTTCTGGGCCTGCGTCGGCCCTTCGGAAGTCCCGTGAGCGCATGTCCTGAAACACGGAAACTTTTGCCGCGATCACTTCGGACCATGGAGACATGGTGTTTGCTGAAGTTTCGCCTCAGCTGCTGAAGACGCTTCTCAAGGAAGCGTGTACTCGTGGGCTGGAGTGGGACTTCGGGGCCAAACTCAAGCCGAACGGGAGGCCGTGCGTCGATGGAGTTTTGAGATGAGGAGGAGGAGGAGGAGGAGGAGGAGGAGGAGGAGGAGGGGGAGGAGGAGGAGGAGGAGGAGGAGGAGGAGGAGGAGGACGGAGGGGGAGGAGGAGGAGGAGGAGGAGGAGGAGGAGGAGGAGGAGGAGGCGAGCTCTCGGCTCAGTCTCCTTCAGAAAGGCTGCGTGAGGTCGTCCTTTTGCAACGCCACTTATGCTAGACAGCGCGCTGCCGACCTAGGCTACGTCATACCGCCCACGCTGTGCCCGCTGTGCCTCGACGCGGAAGGCACACCAAGGCATCGTTTATGGCAATGTGCGGAGGTGTCGAGCGAGAGGGAGGCCATGGTCAAGGACAAGGCGAGGTGGGCGGAGGACGCGGACGACGTGCTCGCGGGCACCCTGCCGAGTCCTTCCCTCGCCCTCTTCAGTCGGGTGGTGTGCAGGTCGAGTGGGTTTCTCCTACTGACGGGGACTCCACGCCCGACCACGTTTTCGTCGGGGACATATCCACGGACCGGTCATGCAGCAAGAGGGTCATACCCGAATACGATCGTGCGGGTTGGGTCTTCTCGCTCTGGCTTCGTGACACAGGTCTCGAGGTCGTTAGAGTGCGGGGGCCAGCCTGGCCTCCGTGTCCACAGACGGCGCAAGCCGCGGAGTTTCACGCTTACTCGATCGCGCTGCAGTGATCGAGTGGTTCTTGCGAGTTGTTTGGTGACTGTAAAGCCTGCGTTGATTGTCACGCCCTTCCGTGGGAAGGGCAATGCTCTCCTAGGCGTGAGTAAGATGGAGTTGATCAATCTTGTCGAGAGTTTTCCCAGTGGCGCAAAGTGTACAAAGTCAAGGCCTACCAGTCCATCGAAGGGGCCGAAAATAGCTGGGATCTATACTTGCGTGAAGGTAACCGCGCTGTCAACGTTTCGGCGAAGCAAACTGTGTTGATCCACCCGCAGCCCGACAGCACGGAAGCTGAGGATGTATATTGCAAGCTGGCCATTGTGAGGGCATCCTGGCCGCGAAACCCTTATCACTTTTGCCGCGGCTCGATCTAGGGCCGAACGTGCAGGGGGTCCCTGTTGCCGCTCACGTGAGTAACACGCAGGGTCCGACGTACGCTTGGAGCTGGACGGGGCGTTGTTGGCAGTGTTCTAGATGTTTTCGTGGATCACTTTCAGCCCACAAGCCGCCCGCGAACTTGTGCCGTGGCGGCGCGGGCGTCGGGATCCGTGGCATGGATGCCCCTGCGTTTCTGCTCTGGGGCGCAACATGCTGTTTCTTGACGCCTCGGACGGCAGTCTTGTTCTTGCGTGCCTCAAGTGCATGTTCTACACTGGAGGTGGGCAGAATCGAGGCCTCCGGCAGCCCTGCCAGCCGATCCCGCAGGCTGGAGCTCGGGGTCGGCAGCACTCCTGGGGGGGCAGGTCGCGAGGGTGGACGGTATCCCAGGCGCGGAGACGCCAAGGCCCCTGTTGGCCAATCCCCTGACGGCGGCGAGCGAGCTGCCCCTCTCCACGGCGGCGGCGCGAGGCTCGCGGCGCCCACCGCCCCCCGCCGCGCAAGGCGGCGGGGGGCGCCGCCCGCGGAGCCGGTGGGCCGCTGGGGAGCGAGCACCGGGAGCTGCGACCCTCGATCTTCCTCGACCCTCCTCGGCCCTCGAGCTTCCTCGAGCTTCCTCGGCCCTCGATGCTCCTCGAGTGGCAGGCAAGGGCACAAGCGTGAACCTCCGGGGCTCCGCGCGGATTGCTCCGATCGGCGCTGGAGCCCCATTGGAGGCGCCCCGGGCGCCGCCCCGAGGCGCGCCCGAGGCGCGCCTCGATCCTCGACCCTCGACCCTCGACCCTCCTCGACCCGCGACCCTCCTCGACCCCTCCTCGACCCTCGACCCTCGACCCTCCTCGATCCTCGACTCTCGACCCTCCTCGACCCCTTCTGGGGTGCATCCAGTGCACCTCCTCGCTCCAGGTCCGTTTCCGACCGACTCGAGCTCCGAGCACGGCCCCCAGAGGCCGAGCATGGCCAGGAGCCTTCCTCAGCGGCGCGCATAAAGGGGGTATGGGGGAGGGGGGAAGGCTCCTTAGAAGGGGGCTGCTTCTCAGGGGGCGCCGGCCCTCACACCTAGAGAGGAGGCCCGCGCCTTCGAAGACTCAGGGGGGCTTCTGAGAAGCTATCCCCCCTCCCCCTGACCCCCTCTGCGCGTGGCCGACTTCGGGAGCCCGGCGCCTCGAGCATCCTCCCCCTCTATACCTGCTCGCCAGAACCAGTCCCGGGCCACCTCGGACCCCCAGGCGGCTCCAACCCTCGGCGGCGAGCAAGGGGGGGGGGTATGCGAGAAGGGGCGGGCCTTCTCAGACGGCTCGGAAATCCCCCAGCCTTCTGAGAAGCTTCCAATAAGCCTTCCCCGGAGACGCCGCAAGCTTCTCAGAAGGCGCCAGGGCTTCTGAGAAGTCCCGCCGTCTTCTGTAAAGGCCTTCTCCTCCTCGCTTCCCCCCCTCGCTGCAGGAGGAGGAGGAGGAGGGGGAGGAGGAGGAGGAGGAGGAGGAGGAGGAGGAGGAGGAGGAGGAGGAGGAGGAGGAGGAGGAGGGATGAGGAGGAGGAGGAGGAGGGAGGAGGAAACCCGACCTCCAGTCGGGCGGATGCGCATCCTCGGCGCCCAGCCCCGCGCCTGCGCGGCGCGCGGCCGCCTCGCGCTCCCTGCGCCGCCGCCGCCTCGCCTCCGCCGCCTCGCGCTCGGCGGAGCGCTCGGCGGAGCGCTCGGCGGGGCGCTCGGCGGAGCGCTCGGCGGGGCGCTCGGCGGGGCCCTCGGCGGGGCCCTCGGCGGGGCGCTCGGCGGAGCGCTCGGCGGGGCCCTCGGCGGCCGCCTCGGCCCCCGCGGGGCGCCCGGCGGCCTCCGGAGCGCTCCGCGCGACCGCCTCGGCGTCCGCCGCGGCGGCCGCGGCGCGCTCGGCCTCGTAGCCGGCCTGCGCCTCTCGGGAGGGAAAACAAGGCGAGCACACAGATGATGGGAATGTGGGAAGACATGGCGAACGGAGAGAAGGCGCCGACTTCCATGGGAATGTGGGAGGGCACGGCGAGCGCGCTCTGAAAGGGGCCCCACGAGCTTAGCCGCCCCGACCCGCAGCACGCAGCCCGTAGAGTGTCGACGCGTAACACGCAGATTGAGAACGTACGACTGGCGCGGCACGTTCGGCAATACGAGGGCCAACACGCGGAGCCAACACAAAACATGCTGACACAAAACTTTGAACACGGTACGTGTTGCGTTTCAAAACGGGCGTATCGGGGAAGCTGAACCCACGAAGCATCCCTGAGGACTCTGCCCCACGTCAGCGTAGTCGTCGCCGCCGTCGCCGCCGACGCCGCCGCCGTCGTCGTCGTCGTCGTCCCCCTTCAGGGTCGGCGGCACTGGCCGTAAAGCCTTCCCAATGGACGCCGATTGCCGTGGGAATGTGGGAAGACATGGGGCATAGAGGGGCCTAAGGAAGAATCCAGGACATGTGGGGGGAGAGGTGGAAGGCCCTGGGATCTGCGCCGATGTGCTTCTGCCCCGCTAGGAGGAGGAGAAGAAGAAGGAGAATAATAATAAGAGAAACTGCATAAACATGAACTCTTGGCGCTCCGCGCCGATTTTTCTTGGAGTTGCGCTGGCCTCCCCTCCTGGCGCGCGGAGCGCGCCAGGGGCGGCGCCAGAGGCGCCTCTGGCCGCGTGGAGCGCCAAACATTCATGTTTGTGTCGTTTTTTTTCTCCTTCGACCCCCAGCCATCGCTCGGACGTCCATTCCCTGTGCTCTTGTCTGTTTTGCGCGTGGCTTTTTGTCGCCACATGATCAAGGATGCTCCTCGATGGTCCCCGCCGAAGAAAACATGCACACGTCCGAGCGAGGGGGAGGGGGAGGGGGAGGGGGAGTGGAGGAGGAGGAGGAGGAGGAGGAGGAGGAGGCAGGAGGAGGAGGAGGAGGAGGAGGAGATGGTGGAGGGGGGAGGATACAGGAGGATGGAGGAGAGGAGGAGGAGGAGAGTAGGTCGGAGGAGGAGGAGGAGGAGATGGAGGAGGGGGAGGATACAGTGGGGGGGGGGAAAGATGGAGGAGGAGGAGGAGATGGAGGCTGGGGGGTGGATACAGGAGGATGGAGGAGGCGGAGGCGGAGGATGGAGGAGGAGGAGGAGGAGGAGGGAGGAGATGGAGGGGGAGGTGAAGATACCGGAGGATGAGGAGGAGAGGAGGAGATGGAGGAGGGGGGATGGAGGATGCCCGCGAGGATGGAGGAGGGAGGAGGTGGAGGAAGGAGGAGGAGGAGGAGAGGAGGAGGAGGAGGAGGAGCCCCCGGGGCCCTCTGAGCCTCCTCGGCCGCGCGGGCCATGCGCTCCGCCTCCCACCGCGCGAGGCGCATGGCTTCCTCGCGTGCGCGGCGCTCCGCCGCGGCGCGGGCGCAGCGGGTGGCCTCCTCCTGCGCGGCGGCGCGGGCGCCCTCCTCTGGAGGAGGCGCAGGTGAGGAGCGGTTATGAGAGGAAAAAAGAAGAGGAGGAGGATGGAGGGAGGAGGAGGGTGAGGGGATGAGGAGGAGGAGGAGGAGGAGGAGGGGAGGAGGAGGGAGGTGGAGGATGAGGAGGAGGAGGAGGAGGAGAGAGGAGGAGGGGGGGGGCGGAGGAGGAGGAGGTAGGAGGAGGAGGAGGAGGAGGAGGAGGAGGAGGAGGAGGAGGAGGAGAGGAGGATGGAGGAGGAGGAGGAGGAGGAGGAGGAGGAGGAGGAGGAGCAAAAGACCGCCTGGGCCTGGCGGGCCCTCCCGAGGCGGACCAGCACGCCGCCGCGCGCGACCTGGCGGAGGCGCGCCGGGCGGCAGCTTGAGACCCCATGTACGTCGGATCCACGCCGGATCTGCGTCGGGCTCACGTCGTGCGCGCGTCGGAGTTACGCCAAGTTTACGTCGGACTGAGGCCAGAGCAACGCCGCGCGAGCGTCGACCCATGGCTAAGGGAGCTGCCGTGTGGACTAGATAATACGGCTATTGCGCGTCGCGCGCGGCCTCCAGGATTTTACTCAAAAGAATGGGATAAGGAAAAGGAGGAGCGGAACAAAATCAAAATAACATGTTTTTGCGAGAATCCGCGCGGAGCGCCAACAGTTTATGCTCACGGCGTTTGTTCTCCATCGAATCAGACGGATGCGTTTTTTACGATTCGCGATAACGGCCGTCACCGGGGATGTTCCTTCCCTTCCCCCACCCTTTGGTGACGTCACGGGTCGGCCCGGCGCCGTCAGGGAATTGCTGATGGTAACCCATTCACAGACGGCGCCAGCGTGAGTCGTAACGTTACCAGCCCCCTCGCCCCCCCCTCCCTCTGGCAACGGTCGCTATACAGTCAAAAACCTGATAAGGACGCGCGACTTTGCTCAAGGTACCCTTGCGTCCTTGCTCTTCCTTGCTCTTGCGTCCTTGAGGCTTTCGTCGTCCGCCGCCCCAAGAATCCCAGCTTCGGTGTTTAAGGGTCTTACGTCCTTACCGCGCGTCCTTATTAGGGTTTTTGACTGTACCGCGGGACAGCGAAAAACTGCCCACGACACGCCGCCGTGGGGGACCCACGAGCGGAGCGTGCTACTGCCTCAAAAAAGCCACCAGGACTTCGGCCCAAAGCAAGATCGGATCAACATGTTAACGCGCTCCCAACAGCGTCGTGCTACTGATACTGTTATGGAACCTCTTCGGCAGAACGGCTAGAGGGCTATCGGCGTTCCCGAAGCCACTGGGCCAGACGCGGCCAGAGAAAAAACGGCATGAAGCTGGACCAGATCCGGGACTGAGCCGGATTAAGCGGGCTTGAGCCATTCTGAAAGGATAAATCAAGGTCAGCCTAGTTTTCAACCAGGGATAAACCAGCGCCGACTCTGAATTCTACCTCCCACGAATTGCATCCTGAAAAAACTTGCAACAAAACGATGTACACATGCGCTTTAGAAGGGCCTGCACCGAGGTTTCTCGGATCGGCGCTGGGGCCTCCCTCCTTGGCGCACGGAGCGTGCCAAGGGGTGGCGCGGAGGCGCCGCCAGGGGGTCTGGCGTAGATCCAGGGAACAGCCACACGGGCCTGCGACAATGTGTGCCCATGTCCTATATATATACACACATATACATATACGTATACATATATTGATATTTGTGTGTATATATATACACATACATATGTGTATATATACATATATACATATATACATATATACATATATACATAGATATACACACATATCTATGTATACATGTGTATATATATATATATATAAGTAAACTGCCCCTGCAGGTCAAATTTCTGGATAGTCGGCGGGGGTCCAGAATTCGAAAGATGCCTGCCGCCAAGTGAGCCCCTGCGGGGGTGTCCGACACCCGAAGGCCGAATGGGCCCGCAGCGGCAACCGCGGCGCTGCAGCGAGTTTGAAAGCGGTCGCGCAGCTGCTTCATCCTCGACTCCAGAGGCCTCCCAACTGGGGTCTGAGCAGATGGGGTCGGCGACGTCGGCGATGCAGAGGCAGTGAACAGTAATGGTACAGGGCTTGGCCATGGGGTAATAACCTGAGAGTCCTACCCTTAGGATAACGTCGGCGCCGTACCGGGGCATCGCACAACTCATCCCTTGATGGCAAGCAAGACGAGAGGTAAGAGAGAAACCATGGAATCGGGAGATGGATAAATGGACGTGGATGTTGTCCGATACTATGATCCGCAGATAGAGGCGCACAGGGTCGCGCACCTAGCAAATGGGGCCTACCCGATGATAGGGCCCATTGTCCTACCAACGGCATTGACGCGGATTTCGGCTGTGACTTGTCGGGTTCATGTGAACTTTGTCGGTGCAAGCTGTCCAACAAAGTCCTCCCGATGGCGGTCGTTTGATGGATCCTCTCTCTCCCCGTGGCATCGCGGGATCATCGGGATCGAACCAGCGCTGCTGACCACGAAAGTGTTTGCGTAATGCCTGTCGGCAAATGGGTTGTTGATACCTCGTGCATAGAGGGACTTTGCAATCTGTAATGAATCTACGCTCAGCGACTCCATCTCTGAAGTATACTGGGCCGCATGCGCTAAGTCTCGCTTGCACGCTTGGGCGCGCTCAAGATTGCCACGGCACCTGTTGTTTTCAAAGGGCTCGATAACTGCATGGTGATTGGCCATCACGTCTGTAGGTTTCTTGAGAGTGCCATGGGAGTCGCGTGGCCGCGTCGAGCACTGGTCTATTACCTGCGTGCAAGTGGCCTCGCGAATGACTAGCGTCGCCCAGGGCGCAATCTCGTCTATCCATGCGCCAACCGGTTGTTCCCTGAGGAGCACGCGTTGGAGGTCGCCTTGCATGGCGGCTACCTTCCCACAGAAGGTGGCGCGGGGAAGGCCCTCCCTGCGGTGCTTGCACCAGATGTCGTCGTTGCCTTGGAAAGGAAAGTACGACGGCAAGCCTGCAGTTCTGCAGCTAGGTTGCAGCGTCTCTTTTGCGACGAGGCGCGCGAGCAGATCATGCCCCACATCCCGTTGCGCTCGCGGGTTGCCCAGGTCAGCGTTGACACGCTTGTCTAAGTTACCTCAGGAAGCAAGCTTTCCGTTGAAAGTGGCATGTGATATGCCGCCAGGGCCTCCACATAGTTGTACCATGTCTACACAGTTGCCCCTTTCCATAGCAGAGGGCAATGACAATGTCAGCACGCGCGTCCGCAGTGCCACTTGGCAGTGTTAGGAAGAAGCTGTCGTCGTCGATGGACGCCAACTTTTCAATTAGAACGTCGCAGAGCAATGTGGCATCTCCTATGCCTTTGAGATCGTCGCCACACTCATCATTGCCGTCTTCAGCACGCGCTGGTATCTCTTCCGGTTTGATGTCATATTCCTTATCAGCCTTTTGCTTGTCTTGTTGTTATACTCGGGCATCGGTTGGCAATTCTATGCGCGCGATTGGCGCGTCCGCCAGCATCGGAAAATTGGGATTCTGGGTAAGTCCCCGCCGCCAGTTCCAATCGAGAGGGGAGGAAGTCGATCAGTTTCGATGAACGTAACTCGTGTCTCGCGGCTTGGCGGCGCATGCCCGTGTCCGAGCAAATCTGGGGGAGCTGATTCCCAATGCAATATCGCACGCATATTGCGGACTCCGTTGGGCAACGGTGTTTTCCGAATCTGACCGGTCGGTTGGTCGTTGAATTCGGTATCTTCAATCACCTTTTTGTCAAGGCCAAGTGCAATCCAGCGTACTGCGTCGTCCCAACACGGCCCGCTGTCGCTGGACTGCGTGTAGTTATGCACGATTGCATCGGTTTGAGCGAGCACTCGTAAGTGTACTTGCGCTTTGTCTTTGTTTGTGTGGTTGCCGAGCTGGTCCACAAGTTCTGCTGTCATGAATGTCATTGTCTCGTTTCGCCATTCAGCCCGTTGCTGGTCGTGTCCGTACTAGTCCACCAGATACTCATATTCGTGCACTTGCATCTCCATCGTGTTGTGTGTAATTTCGTGCACGGTGTGTATATTTGTGCATGGGGGCCGCTGGGCCTCCCGTTGAAGCGGTCAGACTTGATGCCAAAATGGCGCTGGCGCATCAGGATCTCTCTGAGTTTGAGGCTCCAGGGAGCTTCGCGCGCCGGAGCAATGACCGGATTTTTTCGAGCGGCCCCGCCAAGGCGACTTGCATCTTGAGAGCATGTGCCTTAGTTAGGAGATTGCAGATTCTCCCATCGCGCGGCCCAGCCCGTTTGCTCGGCAATCCAACGCGCTAGTCAGCGGGCGCGGCCACCCAGAGAAACGCCTAGTCTCCAGGAAGCATTCCTCCAAGATATTGCGCCCCCATCGATGCCATTAACTCGTTAAACGCGATGCGATCACACATGTATCCTCGGCGGCGTACTTCGGCGGCAGCCGCTTGGATATCTTCTATAACTAGAGCTTTAGAGTGACAAGTTGCAGTGTTGGTACTTAAGCGCGTGTCCACGCTGTTCTTCGCAATGAGGCCCGCGCCCGCGCCTCTGGCCACCTCGGGGCGGCAAGCAGACTTGGCCAGAAGGCCCACCTGCCACCGTCAACGTGGCCATTTTTGCGGGGTAGGATGCCCGGCGTCTCGTCGCTCGAATATGTCCTTCCCCCACTGGTGCCCTGGTCGGCGGCGTTATGAGACGACGAGCTACGGTCTCCGATGTGGGAGACCTGCGGCCTGTCCGCCGCAATCGGGATGGTGCCCCAATCTTCTCTGGGCGTGGCCGCCCTCGGTACATTGGGGCTTCCGGTGAGCCAGCCCCATCGCCTCCTCCAGGTGTGGGTGGAGGAGGTTCGTCATCGAGCCTGGATCCCACTTGTCAACTGCCTCTTTCACCTTGTGGTGGATGCCTGCCAGGAGCACGGTGGCCGCGTCATCCACGGCCTGGACCATGAAGCGACTCAACGCTTCGTGGTTATACTCTTCAGTGCCCTGGCATGCCTGAGATGCTTGTCCACGGTCGGCCTTTGTCTCGT